CACCACTAATCTGACTCCTCCTTCCAATTTTGAACCCACTACTTATTCCCAAGTTGCACCTATACCAGCTTGGCAAGATGCTATGAGGAAAGAATTTAAGGGCTAGAGGCCAAACACACTTGGAGAATTGTTGCATTGCCTAGTGGGAAGAAGCCTATAGGGTGTAGTGGGTCTACAACAATAAGTATAAGGCTGATGGCACTGTTGAAAGGTATAAAGCTAGGCTTGTTATTAGGGGTGACACCCAGCTTGAGGGGATGGATTTTAATGAAACTTTTTCCCATGTTGTTAAGTATCTAGTGGCTGTTGCAGTTAAGAATGGATGGTCTTTGTTTCAATTAGATGTTAACAATGCCTTCCTACATGATGATTTAGATGAGGAAGTATATATGAAACTTCCTCCTGGTCTTTCTGTCACCACTGCCTCCTCCTCCTCCTCCTCCTCCTTTTCTTCTTCTTCTTCTTCCTTGGTTTACTGTTTACAAAAGTCCCTATATGATTTGAGACAACCATCAAGGCAACGGTATGCTAAGCTCTCTCAAGTATTATACTCTAGAGGCTATACTCATTTCCTTAATGATTACTCCCTGTTTATCAAGGGTTCTCATGGTCATATGGTTATCCTTGATGTCTATGTTGATGATATAATATTAACTGGGGATGATCTTGCTGAAATTACTGCTTTGAAGTCATTTCTGGATGCCCAGTTCAAAATCAAGGATCTGGGCACTCTTCATTATTTCTTGGGGATTGAGGTTTCTTCTTTACCTGGTGGAATGCTTCTCAATCAGAAGAAATTTATATTTGATCTTTTGCGGGAATTTGATTGTCTAGAGGTTGCTTCTGTTGTTTGCCCTTTGGACTTAAACTCTAAACAGAAGGTTGACTGTGGCGATCTGTTGGCTGAACTTGAGAGATATAGGAGTCTAGTTGGGAAGCTGTTATTTCTCACCCACACTAGACCAGATATTTATTTTGGGGTGCAACATCTTAGCGAGTTTCTTCAATCTCCAAGAGTTCCTCATATGGTTGTTGCTCTACATATGCTGCGATACCTCAAGGGCACTCCTGATCTTGGCCTATTCTACTCTCACTCCTCTGATTTCACCATTTAAGCATATTCAGACAGTGACTGGGCAGCTTGCCCAGACACCAAGCGATCTGTCACTGGATTTTGTGTGTTTATGGGTGATAGCTTAATTTCTTGGAAGTCTAAGAAGCAACCTGTTGTGTCTCTTTCTTCAACTGAGGCTGAATATAGAGCCCTCGGCAAGGTAGTGGCTGAATTGACTTGGCTTGCACGAGTTTTAGCTGATTTTGGTGTGCAGGTCTCTCATCCTATTTATGTATTTTGTGACAACCAAGCAGCTGTACATATTGCCAAACATCCTGTTTTCCATGAGCGGGCAAAGCATATTGAAGTCGATTGTCACTTTGTTCGAGGGAAGCTTTCTGATGGTTTCGTTCAACTTTCTCATGTTTCCACCTCAAAGCAGCTTGCTGATGTTCTCACTAAACCTTTAACTGGGTTGCTTCATCACCGGTTTCTTCGTAAGTTGCAGGTGTTATCCCCCTCCAACTTGAAGGGGGTGTTGGACGCATGGACTATTTGGCATCTAGGCCCAAAAGGAAAGACTGATTAGCATAGTCTCTATTTATTTTACCACTTGTATTTGGGCTTATTGTAATTACGAAACTGGCCCACTTATATTTAGTAGTTAGTCTTTCCAGACTTCATGTTGTATTATTATGTGCTGTATATATAGAAACAGGGTCAACCCGGGCTGAGACCATCGGGATTATTTTCCAATCCAATTCTAGAAGCATCCTTCTTCTCTCTTCTCTCTCACATGAACCCTAATACATTTTCCCAAAATCCCGATCGATTCCTCCATGTTTTCAGAACTTTACTTCGCGGAAAAATCATACTGTATGAATTATTTTTTATGTTTATATATAATGGATGTTGAAATTCCTTAACACAACCCTTGAGCTCTTCGCGTGCTTCGAGCTTTTAAAATATAGAACTTGTTGAGATAATGTTTCATTTTTAATAGATCATACGCAACGCAAACTAAAACTAATCGAACTACTCCAAATATCGAATAGATACCAAATATCGTAGAGTTAAGCAAAAATAGTGAAGGTCAACTCATCCAGAAGCTGCCAGCCTTGGGCACAAAGACAAGTGTACTGGTGAACCTAGTTCGTATTTTTGGTGCATACACACGAGTTTTTGGGTCCTTTTCTGTTATCCTTTTGCTTTTTTGTTCTTTTGTCTTTTGCAAGAGAGTGGGGTAGAGAATTTTTGGAAGCATAAATGAATGCCTCGGACGCTAGAAATCGATCTCGTTTGAGTACTATAAAATGCAAATGAAGAAGATGCCGCCTCTTATCATGAAGCATCAGATTATATTAGAAAAGGATTGATATTTTTGAATCATATCGTGATGCCCTAAATCTTGCCCTTACAAGCTTGGCGACGCACATACAGAAATAGTGGCGGACCCAGGATTTTGTGCAAGTAGGTTCAATCTTAAAAGTACGTAACTACATTCGTAAAATGGTGGTTGTCAAGTGGGTTCTAATAAAATATTTATACAAAATTTACGCAGCTTCAATCGTAATTTATACATATACACAGTATTATTTTTTGATGAAGCAGGTTCAATTGAACCCGCTTGTCACCACGTGCGTCCGCACTGTACAGAAAGAAGCTAGTTGCAAGCTTCGGTTATTATAAATACTCTAACGATGTGGGTGGTACACAACGAACCTCAAAAATTGACCTGTGGATCGTGATAATGGGTCACGTGGAACTTGGTTCGAGACGGAGACCTGCGAATCGTGGTAGTGGGCCACGTAACAGCTTAGTTCGAGTGGAGATTGTTGGGTGTACAAACAAAGTCCCACATTGGTAGCTGAAAAGATATGGATCCTATATATAAGGTGTATGGATCTTTTAATGGTGTGAGACCTTTTAGGGAATATCGTATGGACTTGACCAAAACGGACAATATTACACTATGTAAGAGTATATTTGGGCTAGTTGAACAAAACACATACTTCCTCTGTTTCAATTTTTGTGAAGCTATTTGACGGGACACGGAGTTTAAGAATAGAGAAAAGACTTTTGAACATATGGTGTAAAATGAGGTACATATATTTTGTGTGACTATAAATCACTGCATAAAGGTAATTAAATTGTTTCCAAATATGGAAAGAGGTCATTAATTTTTGGCACGGACTAAAAAGAAAATAGATTCACATAAATTGAAACGGAGGGAATATGATATTGATTGATGTCAAAATTCTTTCATATATTAGAAAACCCCTCTTAATTTTGAAGGGCAAGGGTATCTTTCAAAATATTTTCAAGTATTAAACTAATTAAATCTGCTCAAAATATGAAAAAAATTCACGTGAATGAGAATTGAAGTAACTAATTGTATGAACTTATCTTTTCTCAATAGAAGAAAAAAGTTGAAATTTTATATGGCCTTTCGAAGTAGCAAATCGACCATTTTTCTTCTTGCTTGAGCCTTGAGGCCATTTTCTCTTATTGAGAATCACTTGATGATAAGGAGATCAGACAGTAGAATCATGTGATTTACTATTTGGAATATTTGAAAAGAATTTATTCCAATCTATAGTTAAAGCTAGCAAAGTCAATTTGTAAACGAAAAGTTGGAGAGTTATCTAGATTTCTCTTTTGTACTTTCTTCTTTTCTTGGTACGGAAAATATTATGTACTTCAAAAAACAACAATTTTCAAAATAAAATGAAGATGGCAATATGTTTTATGAGATTGAAATAGATAATACTTTTTGTCTATTTTGTAGTTATTCCTGCTTTTTACACAAAAAAAAAAAAAAAAAAACAACTGAAAAAGATAAATTAGGAACATCTTTTGTTAGATTAACTACTTGATAGTGTATGGTTAATTAAATAAAAAAGTACTCTCAACGACACTTATTTTTTCGCCACGTGGTTTAATTTCGATTACTCCCTCAAGAATAGGAGGCAATAATAGAGCGAATTCGTCGGAGAGTACTCAACACAGGCTGCCAAAGCATGCTCAGTCGTCAATTTCCAGCCCAAAGCTGACCAGTACAACCATATCATACCCTGCCTACTCGTCCCGTTCTATAATGATGCATGCATATGGTAACTATATATATATTTTAATTTTCCAACGTAATCCCTCGAAAAAAGAATTAGAAACGTGGAATATTGAAAACTTGAGTTTGAAAATGTTATCTATACCCAATTTCATTTTATGACTAGGTTAAGACAGAAAGATTAATTATCTTTCTTTCAATTAGTATAGCCTATTCACGTTGAATTGTATCTAGCATCATAAATTTTAATATTGAACTCATAGCTATTTGCTGTAATCACAACAAACATCTAGTGTTTATTAGCACAAGGATATACTTATATTGCAAATGATAAATACAATAGAACCTTAAAAACAGTTATTTCACAAGCAAATGAGAAATAACTTCAACCATTAGAGGAAAATATATATATATATA